TGTTCTTCTGTAAAACTCTTTATCTTTCCTATTCTGAATGATAACTTTGCTAGATACAGTATTCTTGGCTGCAAATTTCCCCCATTCATCATTTTGAATATATCATGCACTCTTTCAGGCCTGGAAAATTTTTGCTGAAAAATGGGCTGCTAGCCTTATGGGGTTTTCCTTGCATGTTACTGTCTTCTTTGGTCTTGCTGGTTTAAACATTTTTTCTTTATCACTGTATTTGGCAATTTCATTACAATATGTCTTTGTATGGATATCCTTTTGTTGATTTTGTTGGAGGTTTTCTATACCTCCTGGATCTGGATATCTGTTTCCTTCCCCAGATTAGGGAAGTTTTCAGCCATTTCTTTAAAAAAAATTTTTTTAATGTTTATTCATTTTTTTTGAAAGACAGACAGCATGAATGGGGGAAGGTCAGAGAGAGATGGAGACACAGAATTTGAAGCAGGTTCCAGGCTCTGAGTTGTCAGCACAGAGCCTGATGCGGGGCTTGAACTCATCAACAGTGAGATCATGACCTGAGCCGATGTTGGACACTTACCTACTGAGCCACCCAGGCAACTCTCAGCTATTTTTTAAATAAATTTTCTGTCCCCTCTTCTTTGTCTTCTTCTGGGACTCCTATAATATGAAGATTATTGTTTGATGGAGTCATTGAGTTCCCTACTTCTATTCTTGTTTTACATAATTCTTTTTTCCTTTTTTTGTTCAGCTTGATTACTTTTCATTTCTCTGTCTTCTAGGTCATTAATTCATTTTTCTGCTTCTTCTAGCCTGCTGTTCATTGCATCAGGTGTGTTTCTAATCTTGTTTGTTGCACACTTCATCTCTGATTGGTTCATTTTTATCTCTGTGTTAAGGGTCTCTCTGACCCTTTTTTTTTTTCCAAAGTCCAGTGAGTATCTCCATGATCATTGCTTTAAATACTCCATCAAGCAAGTTACTTATGTCTGTTTTGCTTAGATCTCCAGCCATGGCCTTGTCCTATTCTGTCATTTGGGACAAATTTATCTGTCTTCTCGTTTTGTCTAAGTCTCTGTGCCTATTTCTCTGTGTTAGAAAAGTCAGCTATATCTCCTGTTCTTGAAGGTAATGGTGTTATGAAGATGTTTTGTTGTCTGTTCCTTGTAGTGTCCCCTTTCTACAGGGCCTGGTGCTTTTGGGAGTGTCTCCAATGTGTACTCTGTGTGCACTGCATCTGTGTCCTGGCTGCTTTATCCTTCTGCCAGTTGTCTGCAGAGGCTTTCTTTGTTGGGGGCAGTGTTTGGTCTCTGGCCTGAATCTAGCAATTGTTTACTAGGTATGCTCTGGTCTGCTTGTAAAATGGGACCTATTGCCACTGACACCGGAACTGAGGTTCTGCAAAACTCCCAGGTTGGCAGACACAGTGTGAGCTGGGGTTTGGGACAGTCTTCTGGGGGAGGGGGCTTGCCACACTTGGACTGAGGTGAGCGAGACTGAGAAGGGGGGTTTCACCACAGCATGGGTGAGCAGAGCTTCGTGTAAGCAAGTTAGGTAGTAAGTGTCAGTGCTGTGTTCCTGTAGGTGCCTTTGTGTTTATGCTGAGAGATAGCAGAGGGAAATAGTGTCTGCCAGTTTCTTTATTCCCAGAGAGGTCTTTCCATGAACGCTGCCTTTCTGGGCAAATGAGCAAATACCGAAATGAGCAAATACCCGCTCCACTGTGTGCTCAGGTGCTCTTCAGATCACCATTTCAATGCTGAATGTCCAGGCATTGTTAGCCTTCCTTCTCTCCAAGAGCAGTACAATGCCTTTCAGGGTCTATCTGAGCTAAGCCCATTGACCTTTAAGACCCCAGGCTTTAAGCTCCACTGGTTGTAAGAACTCACAAAATTTGGCCCCTCTCACTTTACAAACCAATTGCTATGGGGATTCATTTCCCCCATGTTGAGCTGCTCTGTGTGCTAGTCTGTCTCTCACCCTTCTCTACACTGCAGCTACCTCCCCACTGCAGTGGCCATGATCTTTTTTTCTCCCAAGTCCCATCTTTGCATTTCCTACCTTCTTTGATGTGGCCTCTTCTCTACCTTTAGTTGTGGAGTTTGTTCTGCCAGTCTTAAGGTTGATTTCTGGTCTATTTAGGATGATTTGATAGTTATCTAGTTGTGTTCATGGGATGAGGAGTGTCTAGGATGCTCCTACACTGCCACCATCTTCCCCTTCTCTCCCCTAACTCCACAGCTTTTAACACTTTGATCGTGTGATAGGATCAAGCACAGTCTTCCCTCCTTTTTGTCAGTGTGAACCATGATTTGAGATGTTGTATCATAAACTGGTGAGTGAACCACTGAGTTGCCAGAGGGAAGGGGGTTGGAAGGATAGGCAAAATGGGTGAAGAGCAGTGGGAGATACAGGCTTCCAGTTATGGAATGAATAAGTCATGAGAATAAAAGGCACTAGTGCTGGAATTGGTATTAAGGAAATGCTTGCTGACTGAAGGAATCATAACTATACAGATCCCTATATCTTATCTAAGAAAATTTTCAACATTCCTATATTCACGCATCTTTAATGAACTTAAACATAATCAAAGGCCTAGTGACTGAAGAGTGTATCAGAGAGAGACCGTAGAATGTACGTAATAAGGTTATATAATGATTATGAGAATATAATTCTAGATCCAGATTACATTGTAGCTCCTTCTATTCTTTTTTTTCTAAATATAATTTATTGTCAAGTTAGCTAACACACAGTGTATACAGTGTGCTCTT